AGGTCGGGCAATCGTCGCAAATTCTCCAATGAATCGACGATAGTACGAGGCTAAGCCGATAAACCCTCGCAGTTGTCGGATGTTTCTCGGCACCGGGAAGTTTTTGACTTTTTCGATCTTAGCATCGTCTGGTCGAATTCCATCTCTCCCAACGACATGACCCAAAAAATTGATGTTGGTTCGGAAAAACTTACACTTAAAGAGGTTTAATTTCAAGCCGGCCTGTCTCAGCCTTTTTGCCACTAATCCAATGTGTGCTACGTGTTCTTCGAATGTTTTTGAATATATCGTGACATCATCTAAATATACCACTACGAACTTCCCTATAAATTCGTGAAGAATGGTATTCATTAGCCGTTGAAATGTAGCTGGTGTGTTATACAGTCCGAAGGGCATGACGTTGAATTTGTAAGTCCCCCAGGATGTTACGAACGCAGTCTTTTCCCTGTCTTCCTTCTTCATCATCACTTGCCAATAGCCTGACAATAGGTCGATCGTACTAAACCACTCGGCATCAGCGAAGGCCTCGATCAAATCATCGATCCGAGGTAAGGGGTATGCGTCCTTTTTGGTCACCAAATTTAATTTACGGAAGTCAACGCATAGCCTCAATTTTCCCTCCTTCTTTGGTACCACCACGATAGGGGAAGTCCACGGACTTTGCGATTCCCGGATCAAACCTCTCTCCTTTAACTGCATCACCTCCCCTCTAATAAACTCCCTGACATTCGGAGCAACCCTATATGCATGCTGCTTGATTGGAGTTGCGGTTCCTGTGTCAATAGCATGTTGCACTACTTTGGTACTTCCTAATTCTTGAACAGATTGCGCAAAGATATCCCCTTCCTTTAGCAGCAACCCTTTTGCTTGCTCTACCTGTTCCTCCGCCAACTCCTCCGCTAATTCCATTGCCTCAATCTTATCCTCCAACGTCTCCACCTGTTCCTCGTCGACTGTCGTGGGAAGCTCTTCGATCTGAGATAAGTAAGCCGCCGGACCCGGTACGCTCTCCTGAGTTTCCTGATCCGATTCTGAATCACTTACGACCTCTTCTACGAAGTATCCTTCTTTTTCGTCTACCTCCTCTTCCTCATATACAGTATAATCTCATCCAAGATGCGATCTGTTTCTTCCTCTTTGTTCGTACCATTATCTGATTCTTCCACGATGTTTACCTCATCTGCTGGCACCCTCTTCATGACATCATTGGAGATAGGTACCTTAATTACTTTTCCTGCGTGTTTGAGAACCAACCTCTGTTCATCATAATATATCCGGGCCTTCACCCTCTCGAACCAGTCATTGCCTAGCAAAAAGGTCTCGTCGGTCGAGTCTACTACTTGTAGTGGTGTTGGGATTTGGCTTCCTTGTATCGTGATTTTAAGACTGTTGATGTTACCCAAGGTCCTAGTTTTCAATCCTGTGAGAGTCCCTATTTTGCTTGTCAATTTCTCCTCGATCTTCAACTTGAGCCAGTCCATCAATTTCTTTGTGATGAAGCTCACGGCAGCTCCTGTATCAATCACGGCGACTATGGGTATATTTCTCACTTTAATCTGACATTTCATAGCTGACGTCTTCTTTTCCTCCGTTTTGACAAAGTTTGTCTCTTCTTCTTCCGGCGGTGGCGGCGGTCTACGAAGGGCTTTTGCCAACATTTTACACTGGTTTGCGTATTTTAGCATTTGCCTGATCGTGGCACTCGCGGGTTTAGCCAAAATATCCTCAACTATACTGTATGCGGGTGCCTGTTCCACCACTGATGGACCTCTCTTCCTGCGAGGTTTCCTTACAGGCGGTGCTTCCTCCATCTCCTCATCTTCATCCGGTAATGGTCTGTCGTCATCGTAGTTGAGGACCGGCGCACTTGGATTTGGCCTGCTCCTCAACCGCCCTTCCCAAACAGATTCCGACTTTGGTGCAACTTTCCTTTCCTTACTGCCGCTACCGTACGGATAGTCTTCATCTCCTACGTACACTTGGTTCTCATTTTCACTATCATCCTCCAGAACGGTAAATTGAACCACGTTGGTCGATGTAGCGTCCTTAGCGTTATTTTCCTTATTTGGGCAGTTCCTTGCAAAGTGACTTTTCTCTCCGCACGTATAACAACTTCTCTCTCCTGTTCCATTTAGGGTTTTCGTTTTAGTCGTGCCATCCTGCCCTCCAGACACTGGTCTTACGTAACCTTCTTTCATTTCCCGTACCTGCTTGAGTAGTTCTTGAATATCGTTTTCCATTTTTCTAGTCCTACTCGTCTCTTCATCCATCACGAAACCTAATTCGTCTTCAACCTTTTTCGCCTCGTCGATGACCTCTCTTAGTGAGATTGAGTTTGCCACGGTGGGTATGGATGCCATCCTCCCTTTTAACCCATTTGTAAACATTCTTACTACACAAACTCTCGTATATTCACCAC